TACCGTTGTCATTTCCATCATTTTAGAGGCATTATTAGGTTTTTAACTTCAACTGCCTGACACTAAAATATTCCGCTCGTGTTCTACGTATTTCATTTTCTGAATCGAGTTTCTAGCCAGTGAATTATGTGTTTTACAGTTTGGTATCCATAACATTCTTTTCAAAAGCCACTTCATGACTAATCGCAGTATCCATAACATCTTGTTCAAAAGCCAGTTCACGACTAAACTCAGCGGTCGCTCTGTGCCTCTCTTTCCTTCTTTTAGAAAGCTTTGTGTTTACAGCTGCTTGCACATATCTTCCTGTACAACATAAAGCCAGTGCTCGTCGAAACTCAGCAATTCTTAATGCGTAAAAAATTGGATGGACAAAAGAGTTGAAGTAGTTGAAAAGGTTTACCGCATGATAAAATCGTCTTGGTACATGGAAAAACCATACATCCATTAAAAAGTTACACAAAACTAGCGGCAACCAAGCTAGTAAAGTAAGGCCAGATACAATTAACAAAGTCTTTATTAAGCGCTTGTTTTGTGAGTCTCGGCTTTTTTTATGTGAAGCGGCGACTCTTTCAGTTTGAAACTTTTTCCAAATACCAATGTTACAGCCACATGTGATTAAAATGAGAATGAAAGTGTATGGCCCCCAAAAAAACATAGTGTACTTGTTAGAAAATAATAGATATGAACCGGTCACGGTTGCGGACATAAGGAAAGCTAGTACCCACACTGAAAAAATAGCAATGCGGTATGCTTGTGTCGATAATGTTCGATGTTTAAACGGCCAACGTATGGCGTAAAATCTTTCACATGTTATGAACACTGCAGAAACAAGAGAGGCCTGTGAGAGGGCTGTGTCAACAAACATACGGGAAATTGAGATAAGCTTGTTGGTCCATGAGTTTCCAACGAACGTGGTCCATAGGTGGAACTGATACCCGACACTGTAAATGTATACTGGTAAACTGAAAGCTCCTAGGAACAGATCAGCAAACGCCATGTTGACAACTAGTAACAAATAGTTCTTGCGAATATTTTTGTTCTTCGCAAAAATAATTATGGTGAGTAAGTTTCCCACGACAACTAGAATAAATGTTAGCGTTAAAGCGCTGCACAATGCA